TATATATATTTATTTATTTTTTTTACCTCAAAACTATCCCATTATAGACACTTTTATATCCATTACATAAGTAAGGACTTTCATGGTAGAGCCAGGATTCGAAACCAGCAGCTAGTCCCCAAGCCACAATCATACCACCACACCAAGCCCTTACTTTCTGAAGTACAGAAATACTATTACAGGGTCTTTGTGAGGATTATATGGGTCATGGTAGATGACAGTACCTAGAGGACACTATTCAACTCAGCTGATGTTCAAAAGGCATTTCAATCTATTTTAACATATTTAATTCAAAACAATTACTAGGGTCAAAAGAGTGGTACAAATAGAATCTATGCTTGATTTTCATTCTAATAACAAGACTGCTGTAATACATAATGGGCAAAGACAGCGTTTTTACCTTTCATTTTTTAAAATTTTATTTTTAGTAAATTATTAATTTATTGTAATTTGTCTTACATGATGGCAGAATGCAATTCATTTCATATTACACATATAGAGCACAATTTTTCAAGTCACTGATTGTACACAGTGTCTTACCTTTCTAGCAGCCAGTAAATCGGGGCTGTCCTCCATGCCAATTGCAAATGTCTGGAGAGCATACTGTACCTGGGCCTCTTTTAGTTGCTTCAGCAGAGTGGCCGCAACCAAGCTGGAGTCCAAGCCTCCTGCAGAAAAAAAGAACAAGTTAGGTGCTTAGCATTAGACAGGGATGCATATGATATACATCTAGACTGTAGTTTTACTATTTAAGATCCCCAAGTTTTTTAAATTGAAATGAACCTTAATAAGAGAAAAATGTTTTTTATTGGACACTTGATAAGGTAACTATATGAAATGGTTAAAATCACTAGAGTTCTAAAGAATGTGTACTAACTAGCTCTTACACTAATAATACAACAACAGTGTAATTCTAAGTCACAGTATTAATATGAATATTAAATAGCTTACAAAAAACTTTTATGTCCTATAATAAAGGAAAGATTAAACCTTAGAACAAAAATATTTTATAGTCAAACCTCAGGGTGGCTACAAATCATTTCACTTAAACAAACATACAAAAAATATTACTAGTTTTTTTTTTTTTAAAAAGAAAGATCTCACCTGATAAAAGGCAACCAATACGTCTGTCTGTCATCAAACGCTTCTTAACAGCATTGTCAAAAAGGATGCGGAGGTTGCTCTTCACGGTTTCTATCTCAAAACCTATAAACACAAAGTAAATGAAACAGCTCCAGAAAGGCTGGGGCTTCGTTAGTTATTGAAATGAGGTCCACAATCACCCACTTCCACCATGATGGCAATCTCTCAACTGGGGAGCCTGCCAAATCCCAATGTATCACCTCCAAGTGAATTAGGAAACATACTGGCATGAGAACATGACCATTTTCCTTTGGTGGGGGGTGCTGCAGGGGTGGGTGGGCTTTTGTTACCTGGGAAGAGTTTCTCCACACTGTCATAGAGGATATGCAGAGGCTCATCCCTACAGTGATGATATTTAACCATTTCCACAGATGCGACTTTGCCATTTGGTTTTAAATCCAAAACTTCATAATGTCCCGGAAGAAAAGGCTCCACTTTTAAAAAAGGAGCTGTGGAGTGTTTCAATGTAACAAGACCTACAAATCCAAAAAGATAATATTCAAATAAGGGAACACCTCATAGTAACTAAGTAACATCCTATAAATTCCTACTTATTTCCCCCCTTTAATATACATCCATGTCCATTATATAAGTAAAATGGAGGTGGGGGTTAATCAGCCAAAGTTCTACCATCTACTTACTAGGGAGATTAAAGTGGCATAGTGACATACAGCAAAATTACACTAATTTGTAGTAATTCAAAACAACGGAAGAACCTCCAACCTTCCCTTTCCCTAGCTGGAATTTCTGATCAGGAAAATCTTATTTTCTACAATAAAGCAAACAAACACAAAAAGAAAGGATACAATTAAAGGGAAAAAGGAGGAATTTAAATGTTAATTTTATGATATAATGGCAGTCATTTCTTTGTCATCACTGAGGTATTTTAAGAAAAGATCCTTTAACAAGCAAAATGCTCCACTGTTAATATGTAAAAGTCACACATCTATCCCACAATCATCTTTATATACCATGCATGCATAAAAGCAGACAACTTAAATTTCTTCAGTAACTTTCTACAGGCAGTTACTAAACAGACATCACCATTACCTTTGACAGGAAAGTCAATGTTTTACTGCCTATCTCTACAGAATACACAGCACGATTTACTACCTGAGCTTATTAACCCAGTAATCTCTGACTACAAAGATCAGACAAAGGACCCACATGTTCTCACTAGCTCCCAGAGCTCAAGTGAGTTACATACCCCTGCAAGGGCTACAGGGTAATGAAAAGGCTTTAAGTAGAATGTATCAAGATCAAAATGGGTATGCAAAAGGGCACCAGTTAAGGATACAGACAAGAAAATCAAGAAATTTTGGACAAATTGGACTGAGACTATAGTTCCATATCAAGAGCCCATAAGGTCTAAAGGAGACCCAGTAGAAGTAGGAATCTTTTTTTTTTTTTTTTTTTAAGTAACTTTGAAATCTGGAAAGTAAGTTCTCCTACTTTCTTCTTTTTCATGATTGTTTTGGCTATTCTGGGCCCCTTATAAGTCAGTATAAATTTTAGAGTCAGCCCGTCAATTTCTATAAAAAGTCATCTGGGTTTCTGACAGAGATTGCACTGAAGAGTACTGTCATCTTAACAATGTTGAGTTTTTGATCCATAATCATGGGATACTTTTGCATTTATTTATATTTTATTACATTTTTAATCATGTTTTATAATATTCAAAGTACAAGTTTAGCACCTCTTTGGTTAAATTTATTCCTAAGTACTTTATTTTTTTGATGCCATTATAAATGGAATTGTTTTCTTTCATTTTCAGAATATTCACTGCAAAGTGTATAGTGTTTACTGCATATGTCAATCAAATACACTGTTCGTACACTGATTTTGTATACTGCAATCTTGCTGAACATCTTTCTGAGATTTGTATCTAAAATATACAAGGAATTATTACAATTAAGTAATAAGATAGATGACTCAATTACAAATGGGTAATTCAGAAAGGGACAAATAAACTCTTCTGTAGAACAAATAAACTCTTCTGTAAACAGTGGATTACTTGGTGATTTTAAAAAAAAAGGAGGGGGGCATCAAGTTAATGACATTCAGTTGAACAACTAAGAAAAAAGAAAAAAGAAAAAAAAAAGATAAATCAGATATTTTTCCCTAGACACATGCTTTCTGATATGCAGTCAATCTCCAAATTCTGATAACATCTATTACTGAAAATAAAGCAAGTAAGTCTGATGTTAAAAAAAAAAAAGTTAATGACATTCAGGAACTTTGAATGCACATTGCTAAGTAAAAGAAGCCAGTCTGATGGGGCTATGTACTATATGAGTATAACTTTAAAATACTCTTGAGAAAATTATAGACATTAAAAAGATCAGTGCTTGCCAGGGGTTCAGGAGCCAGAATAAGAGAAAAGATGATGGTGAATCACAGATATCACAGATTTTTAGGACAATGAAACTATTCTACATGGGTACTTTATGATAGATACATGGTAGTATGCATTTGTTAAATACAAAGAACTATATAATACAAAGAGTGAACCCCAATGTAAACAATGGACAGCTAATATATCAATACCAATTCATCAATCATAACAAATGTAACAGTCATGCAAGATGCCAACAGTGGGGGAAACTAGGAGGACAGAGGGAATATATGGGCACTCCGTACTTACCACTCAAATTTTTTGAGACCATAAACTTCTCTTTAAAAAAAGTCTATTAATTTTTAATGAAATAATCCTCAGCAGGAAGAAAAAAATGGGAAAGACTCTGTAGACATTTCTCCAAATACATACAAATAGCCTATAAGCACATGAAAAGATTCTTGACATCATTGTCAGAAGGGAAATACAAAACCAAAAACACAGCAAGATACCATGTCACACACACTAGGATGGCTAGACTCAAAATATTCACATGTAAGTGTGAGGAGATGGAGAACTGAAACTTTCACATGTTGCTGATGAGAACATAAACTGATACAGCCATTTTGAAAAACAGTGTGTCAATTCCACAAACAATTAAATACAGTGACCATATGATCTAGGAATTACACTCTTAGGTATATACCTAAGAGAAATAAAAACACATGTATACAAAAACTTGCACACAAATATTTATAGCAGCATTATTAATAAATGGATAAACAAATGTGGTATGTAATGAAGTATTATTTGGCAATAAAAAGGAAGTGCTCACAACACAGATAAATCTTGAAAATATTCTACTAAGTAAAAGAATTCACAAAATTCCATATAATGATATGAATTTATCCATATGGAATATCCAGAATAGGACATTCACAGAGACAAAAAGCAGATTGGTAGTTGCCAGGGGCTAGAGGATAGGGTAAGGAATGTTGTAGATGACAGATAAAAAGAGAAGGGGAATGATACATAAAGGGTACAGGATTTCTTTTTGAGGTGATAAAAAATATTCTAAAATTATCTGGAGTGCTGGTTACACATATCTGTGACAGTAGCTATGATAAGGTTCCACAGTGCAATAACTACAGGGCCAACCCTGGGATTACAATATGACACAGGAAAACTGGTAATATACTTCAGGATCAAACTAGATGCAGAGTATATCAGCATAATAAAAACATAAATGTACTATAGACTCATACCTCAAGGATTACAGAATTTAAATATTGGAACAGGGAGGCCCATTCCTCTGTTTAAAAAGAAAACATAGCTTTAAGGATCCATGACAGTCACATGTAAAATTGTCATTGATCCTCCCCAGGGTTTATCAAATATGATTTAGAAGAAAACACAAAACCAGGACACGAACGAAAAATCACAAAAAAATTCCCTCATTACCTTTAGCTTCTGAACACACAGCCAGAAATCCATCTTCTGTCATGGCTTTAAACAAAGGTCTGACTCCATAGGTATCTCTGCCCAGGAACACTTTCTTATTGGCAGTGTCCAATAAAATAAAAGCAAACACCCCATCCAACAGACAAATGGTTTGCTCAATTCCTCCTTTGTCATACAGATGAAGGATTATCTCACCATCCACTTTTGTCTGGTATTCGAATTCAAAATGCTGTTGCAACTTAAGAAACAGAGCAAAACAAAAATGTCAGCATGCTTGTGTGTTCACTAATAACTTTTTATTGCAAAGTTGATTCAGTATTTCTGTGCTTTATAATTATTTCAAGCACTTTAGTAGTTTAGAAGAATTGTGGCATTATCAAAATACAGCTTATTTCAACCTGTGATTCTGGTAGTTCTTTACAACATAAGGTTACTGTCTTAGTTGCTATCTTATAAATGGGATGTACAGTGGCATGTACCAGAACAGTTAAGGCATGTAGGGATGAAAATTCATATTATATACATACTCTGTATGTAATACACCTATATTTACATATACAGTCATCACTTAGTATTCATGGGGGATTTTTTCCAAAATCCCACCCAGATAACAACATCTGCAGATGCTTGAATTCCTTAAATAAAATGTTGTAATGTTTATTATATATAACCTACAAATATCCTTTGGTATAGTTTAAATCATCTCTAGATTATCTATAATACCTGACACAATATAAATGCATGCTATGTAAATGGTTGTTAGACTATATTGTTTAGGGAACAAGAAAAAAAATTGTACATTCTCAGTACAGAGAAAATTTCCCCCCCAAATATTTTCCATCCAGTTAGTTGAATCTGTGGATACAGAATCCACAGACATGGAGGGCTGACTGCATATGCCTAAGTTAAGGAAACAGTTCACCCAGTTGCCAAAACACAATGACACTAAAAATGTGTTTTCAGCAACTATGAACTTTTGGTCTGGGAATAGAGTATTGCCTAAGGTTCTTCCTGATCAGCCTCAAAGACCTACCTGTGAAAATTTAAAGCAAAAAAACACCACTTTCTGACAAATAAATGACTCTACCACAATGACAAGTACATAATCCAAAACAAAGCTACGTGTCCTCAGGGGTGAACTACCACATCCAGACTCCACCACTCCAGTGGCATTTAAGCTACTTCTCACTGATAGAGAAAATGACAGTGGGGCTTTATCAGTCCACATGCCCCAAAGGAACAGAAGAGATGGTCACTGCCACCACATGCAGAATGCTTGATTAAACTGTGGTTAATTCAGTGGCTCTCCACTACCACTGACAAACTTCTGAGGGTGTCAAGTCCTTAGTGTGTGCTGCTTTCTTTGTACTAAAACTCACATTGTTGGCTGACAAGAGAGAGAAGTTAGCAGAAACAAAATCAGGTGGAAAGCTTGAATAAACTTAAACATTCAGAACATGCTTCCAATTTTCAAAAAGTAAATCTATAACGTATGACCTATAAATATGCTTCACAGTCTAGCTTACTTCCTAACGTCTGAACCTTGTATCTAAAAGCACTCACAGTCTACACAAAAAAGAGCTTTGGCTACTTCTACAGTGCCCACCACCTAGTCACGCCTCCTTGCTTTGAGAGACTACCAGGATGGTCCTATCATTAGCAGGTGGGATCTGAAAAGATTCCTGGTAACCCTTCTGGGCAGAAATACCTGAAGGATAATTAATCCTAATGCATTTGATGATAATAGCAAGTAATAGCTTTCCAAATCTACCTCTCCCATCTCTAACCTCTTCTCTTTGACCTAAACCTTGCAGGCAATTTATTCAAAGAGTAGAGGGGTCACTTGGTTGACAATTCAATGGTTAAGTACCATTTGCTACTCTCCTAAAAACACACTTCAATGTTTCCCTTTAGATAAAAGCCCCATATCTTTCCACCATCCCAAAGTCATACTGGCATTTGACTTGGTGGTTGTGGACCCCAGACTTCCATTCAGTCTCCCTCCAATCCCAGCACTCTGTATTTCTGTAGTAGCAATACTTTATTTTCACCCAGACCCCAGAAAAAAAAAAAAAAAAAAGGAGCTTTGTAGCTTATGTTACAGAATACTCTAGATAAGACTAAAATATTTATTTTACTCTTTAGGTAGGCTTCTAGCAGCCCAAACTCAGATACTTGGTAGAAGCAATAGAACTCTGCAAATTCAATATACTTAACTGATTTCGAAAAAAAAAAAAAAAAATACTTAACTTATAACTTATTAACAAAATTAACAAGTGGTAATTTTGTTTAAGCAAAATAAGGTATTTCTTACTTCATTTAAGGGAAACCCCAGGCCAATATTGCTATAGTATAATGTAGTATTCCCATGATGTATAAGATATTGATTTGACTTCCAAAGACATTTGAACTGCTCCCCTCTTCTCACTCCCACTAGCCTGAAACTCCATTCTTACCTTTTCTCTTCCCCATTTCATCTCCAAGTACCTAGAAAAATGATGACCATGTATATAGACCCTTAATAAATCTGTGAAAGGAATTTTCTAAATAATAAAAAGCTCTGCAAATGAGAAGTCTATTAAGAAAATTCCTATAAGCAAACAACAAGGCAAAAGCTATTGTTCAGAGATAAAAATAGCCAAAGGGTGGCTAGAATATAAATCCCTACCAATGACGATGGAATATATAAAGAAGTCTCAAAAAACACCAAGAAAAATCACAACTAAATGCTTAAACCTTAACTAAAATATGCCTTAAAACCAAACAAAACAAAATTTAAAAAAAAAATCCAAACAGCTCTTAAAATACTCTTAGAGACACTTGGGAAATTTAAATATGAACTGGATGTTAGATGATATTACTGATTTTTAGGTTTAATAATTGTATTGATGTTAGGTAGAAGAATGTGTGTATTCTTGGGTGACAAATGCTTAAACAGAGAGAGGGAAAGTATCTTCCTATTTGTAACATACTCTCAAATTATTCAGCCAAATAATGAATATATTAATAGATAAAGCATATTATATTAAGAGATAAAGCAAATAAATATTAAGAATTATTTAATCAAGATGCTCATTGTTCTTTTTATTATGTTTAAAACTTTCTCAAGATAAAAAGTTGGGGAGTTGATAAAAAATAACTTATAAATTGTATGTAAATTACTTGTGAAACATTAGCTAAATAATCTTGTATTAGAAGATTCTTGTCAAATTCAGCTTCCTAGGATCCAAATTTCCATCCTCTCACCCACTCTTACCCTGAGAATAAGCTTCACTGGATTAGAAAGTTGTTCCAATTTTAGTACTGCTAAAAGTCTTAATGTTCTTGACTGCATCCAGCCCACCCACATCTCTGTCCTTTGATTCTAATTAAGTATGCAACTACAGTAATACTCAGTGGCAGTATTATGTAAACACTGTAAGTATAGTCATCTCCAAACTACTAAATTCCATACCTTCCTTAAAAACCTCAACTGCTGCTGCTACTTCTTAGCGTGGCTATGAAGTGCTGCTCCATGGTCCTGCCCACCTTCCCAACCCTACCTTCCTTACCTGCCCCCAACTCACTTACTAAGATCCCAGGGCCGCTTCCCACCACAGGGCTATTCCACGTGCAATCTCCCTCTAAAGAGAGTGATTGTCCCAACCTTGCTTGTCCATCAGGTCTCAGTTCAAGTGCTGCTTCAAGAGCCCTTTTCTAACCACCATCTTAGATGTGGGTCTCCCATATTCATCACCTGTGTATGTGTTCTTTCAGAAAACCTATTATATGAACAAATTTTTTCCTGTTCCCTAATATTTCTTCAGTCAAAATGGGGGGCATTACAAACAGCTGGTCAACCATCACCAACTAGTAAAACCCCAAGCAGCAGCTGGTTTTATCCACTGACGTTTTCAAAACGAAATGCACCTGGACCCCTATGTACATCTCTACAGCAAAAACACTGAACAGAAAAGCAGTCATGACTGCCAAAGAGGACCCAAATACTGAATTTGACAAGAATTTCCAATCTAGGATTATTTGGCTAGAGTTTCATATAAAATTCATATACAATTTGCAAGTTATTTTTGCTTACCTCCTTTCCCAACTTTGAATTTTGAAAAAATTTCAACTATGCAGTTTAAAGCAATGAGCACCTAGATTAAATCAACTGTTAATATTTGCCCATATTTGCATAATATCTCGTACACAAATGCACACAGTCATTATTTAGATGAATTACATGAGAATATGTTGTAGATATTATGATACTTTTCCTCTATATATTCCATAATAAGCTCCACTTAAGTGTAATCTTACCCCTCTTCTTTACCACTGTAACTCCAGTATCTAATACAAAAAACAGCACAGGCACAATTAATATTAAAAATTTTAATAGAAAAAAATTCTAAGAGCTGATTTTTTTTTTTTTGTTTTGGTGACCAAGAAAATTCACCTCTTTGTGTATCAGTGTCTTGTATACTTGTATGACTAGAGCAAATGTAAAAAGTAAAAAAGCATTATACAAAATATTTTAAAACACTTGACTAGTTTTGAGGTTTTTGCTTACCGCCTTGTGGTTGTAGATTTCACCATTGTAACAGAGCCACAAATAAGGGTATTTCTTCAGTCGAATTGGCTGCATTCCAAATAGTGGATCAACCACCGCCAACCGGTGAAATCCAAAGCAGCAGTTGGTATATCCATTGACGTTCTCAAAACGAAATGCATCTGGACCCCTGTGCGCAATCTTCATAGCACTCAGACACTGAACAGAAAGGCAGTCATCACTGCCAAAGAGGGCCCAAATGCCACACATGGTGCAATGAAGCTATAAACTTTCTATGAAGAGAAAAAGCAGACCAATCAAATATTCAACATCCAATCCAAGCCTGATTAATCCTCCATTCTAGAAACCTGCATTAACCACTTCAAAGGGTGAAACATAAACCATCTTATCTACAGCAATTTTCCATTATGTTGGCAAACACACAGAAGTAGAAGATTTGATTTACTTACAAGTATGCAAAAAGGATGGATGACCTTTGCACCTAACCAGCTACGCAGCTTTTTCTTTTGCACCCAGGCAAAATCCACATCTCTTCCCACCTTATGATTTGATGGTCAACTACACCTGGCAGCATCCAGGTAAAATTCAGTCTTTGCAGCCTAGGTTTCCTCCCAAGATACAGACATGCATAAAGGCTACTTCCAGCCTAGCCAAACTTTTTCCACTCCAGAATCACAAAAGCCCTCAACAATCCAGGAAACTATCCTCTTGGGTGTCCTAGACGATTAAATGCCCTCTAACTATACTAACTAACTGTAGTTGGAATATGGCAGGTATACTAGAGATGTTATATGCTAAGTATAATATTAAGATTCAGTTCTTGCAAGATTTTCATATCTTCTAGCTTACCTCTAAGTAATTTATTCAAATGTGATTGAAGAATCAGAAAAACAAAGCAATATAATCTGATATCAAATATTCTAACAAAACATTCTTCGTTGACACAAGATACAAAATCTTCACTATCAAAATGTCCTAGATGACAAAACTGTTCTCAAATATTTTGGTGTCAAGGCTGCACTGGTCAGTAAGAAAGCATAGTATATAGCAACATCCCTGGGAAAAAAAAAAATTTTAAAAAACACTTGGCACATTCCTGTAACCCAGAAAGTAAATAATCCTTAAAAACGTTAATTCAATTTCCAATTTCAAATTATCAACTGTGAAATAAAAGGCTACTTCATTTGGATACTGCCAGCTCAGTTATTTTAATTGAATCTGTAACTTGAAAAAATAACGACTTCTATATTTTTTAAAAATGCAAATCTGCAGCAAATGTCCAGATAATTTGGGACAAGCACACTATATACTATAACATATATTCAAATTACATCATTCACTTTGAGCAATCTTTTGAGGACATTTAAAATGAAACAAAGCTTTGGTTGCCCTTTAAGACCTGATCAAAATAATGGAAAATGGTACCAACTTAAGCAGTTTGGAAATGAAGTAGCGTAAGTCCTATGCAGTCCCTTGCATGCACTTGGCCAAACAGCCTAAAATGAAAGAATTACCAATTTAGTGAAAGATTCAATACAACTTAAGATAACTACTAATAAACAATCTATAAAGGTTACAAATAGGGTAGGAAAGTGCTTTGAAAATCAAGTGTGATCATCAGAAGCATTTATTTAAACTTCTTAATGCTAACTAGTGAATTCCAGTATTAAGCCTGTAACAGGGAAACACACCCTAACCACTAAATTAAAGGGAAAAGAGGAACAATATTTTGTGAAGCATACTTATTTCTCTAGAAGGAAAAAAAATTAAAACCATAACCTATTTTTTATAGTTACTGGAATCACTCTTATAAGTCAGCAAAGGTTGTCTTATTTGCTATATTTATTCCTTACTGCTTTTGCCTGTTCCCAGTCATTTTCCATATTTCCTTCTAAACTTACACAGCTGTGCTATGCAATAGCTATATGACCCACATACGTGGCCCCATTAAAAAAGTACAAAAGGTGGAATTTAAAACATTTAACACAATACACCCAAAACAGTATCAACATGTAATTAATTTCAACATGAAATCAATATGAAAAAAATGATGAGATATTTTACATTGCTTTTCCTACTAAATTCGTCAAAATCTGGTGTTTTTCACATGTACAGCACATCTCCAATTCAGACCAGCCAGAAGTTCAAATGTTCAAAATATAAGATAACACGACAGCTACCAAATTAGCCACTTCAGTGTATTTAATTTCTGTGCTTACCAATTACTTAAACTTCCTCAGATCGCTTAGTTTTTACTTATGATCTCAGTAACCAACTAAGGGACAGGTGCAAGACCTACCTTACTTGTAATGTTATCAATGAAAAAATAGTTTTTCAGTGCTTCCAAATTATTAATCAAGCACCCAGAGAAATGAAGAAATAATGTAGGCCACGGGCTGAGAAGAAAACTCCCTTTATTTAAAAGAGTAACATTAATTTGAAGCCAGCCCTGAAGAACAGCTGTCCATTCAGTAAAGGCATGTAGTTCTTTTGCTTTTTTCGGCACTTAGCCTCCTATTTCCCTAAACAGATCTTTTCTTGGCAGGGTTTGTTCAGCAAGTCACTTGTTGAGAGTGGCTGGTCTACAGTCCAGGGGTGGGACAAGGGGTGGGAAAGGGGTGGGGGAGGAGGAGTAAACACACACGTACAGGCTTCCAGGCGACGACTGCCAAGCCAGAGACCTCCCCTCCTGAACCAGGACCTAGCCACTGCATCGCCCCTCCACACCCGACGGCGCACCGGCCACGTGCACGCTCCCGCAGGTCCGTAGCAGGGCCCTGGGACTGCTACAGTTTCACAGGATTCAACGCCATATGGTTAAAAATAATAACATTTACGGAGGCCAAACTTTGGCTGCCGCTACCTTCTCTCTCAAGCAGCCTGGCCCCGGGTCGCCATTCAATCAAACCCTCAGGACCGGGACGGAGGTCCTCCCTGGCCAACTTGGGGCCAGGTGCGCAACAATCGCAGGCTTCAGCCCCGCCCTCGGTCCTCTGCCGGCGCTGCAGCATCCGCCTGGCGCTAGGGAGCCGCGTGTGTCGGGTGCCAGGCTGCTACACATCAACCTCGCCCTCCCGGGCACACGAAGGGCGCTGCGCTAAGCGGCCCCGGCTTACCTAGTAGTGAATGGGTCGGACGGGCAGAGGGAAGGAGACCAAGGTTGTGAAGTGCTGGAGGGACCGCCGGCCTCTTCTCGGCTTACAGCCGCCTGGCTCCTGTAATGCGTGCGGGAAGTTTCATCATTCTGGCGAGGACCAACCAGCGCGCAGGGGCGTGGCCTCCGGTGCAGGCCTGCAGACGCGGAGGGCGGTGCCCAAGGCGGGGCGGAGGGGGCGGAGTGGTAGGGAGCGAGGAGGAGCGACTGTGCTTCCGTTTCCTTGAGGTGTTGGGTTACCTGCTAAAGGATCGCTTCAGAGGTCTGGCTAAGTGCCACCCTGGTACCTAGGACTACCCCACCGTCTGGCAATTAGAGGGCCTAACGTATTTGGTTTGTTCCTAGGGAAATCATCACCGATTTGGGCTGCAGTGTCCCTACTGCAGCGGATCTCCTCATACCTTTAATTTAAAGTCTTGAGTTCTCCTTTTCTAAGAGACAGTCTGATACATACATGTAGATACGTAAGCATTTGCTAAAATAATAACCAGCAATGGGGAGAAGAATAACTCAAAGGATGGCTGTTGTGTTCTTCTGCCTACCTCCAGGCAGCATTAAATTTGCCTTCCTGTAGATATACTATATCTCAGTATATTTGTATTTTGTGATGGGTCGTGGTTGTATTTCCGTTCAACCAGCTGTGACCTTCCTGGTTGTGTTGATGTCTTCACTTTTTGAGTACTCAGAGCTCAGCAAATACCGCTATGTGGCTCCTAGACATATATTTGATTCAGTTGTATTCCTTATTATACTTGGCTTTTGACACATTTCACTTTAAGGTTGAATTCCTGCCTGAATTTGACAACTACTTGAGTGACTATTAGTATATCCTATGAGCTCTTTAGGTTTCCATCTTTTTTCTGATCTGTAGAATTATCCCCCAGTGCTGGAGATTAAACACAGAGCCTTGTGCATACTAGCCTATCTCTCCATCTTTAACATAAGGAAATGAAAACCCGAAAGAGGTCCTTCAAGCCCTGAAATTCTAAGTCATGAAGTGATAAGAGCTCTTGAGAGCCATTGTACTGAGGGAGGGAAGTTAATTCATTGTCATCCTACACTACCTATCTAATATTTTAAAGTAAAAATAACATTACAATGTGGAAATTTTTGCATTAGGTCAATTAGAAGTAAATTATTCAAATTCACGTACCTGCACTTGTAGACACAGAATGTGAAACCAGGTCCTTCTATTTTCATCTCAATGTGCCTATGGAGAAAAATGATTAGAATAACTGGGTTGTCCTAGAGATGCTGATAAAGGAGTAAGGGGCCGGCATAAATTTTGTTATTTTTACTAAACATGAATATTTCCATTTATAATTAAATGTATTTTCTTTTCCAGATTTTATTTCAATTTTCATATTGCAGTGTTACCCTGTTACCCTTAAATTAAATATTTTTCCTATTCATAATCTGCACAGAGAATTTGGGAGAGGAACTTTCCATTTTAAAAACACTAGAACCAGCACTGCCTTAAAAGTCATCATTTGGTAAAACAAATGATGAACTATTAACATAGATTGTGTACATATTTGTTTTGTAGAACTCTAGATTTTATGGAACTAGGAACTAATTACTCTTCCTACAAAACATCTATTTAGTCCCAAATAAAAGAAGACTTAGCCTGGGGTGAGGCATAGATAAGAAAACACTGACAGAGCTGAGGGCGGGGTGAATGGACACAGAAACAGAAAAAAAAAATAGTCTGATCTGAAAGATTAAAAATTTATACGTAAGAACCAGTAATTAGAATCAGAGTAATTGTTGCTTTAAAGGACTTAAGAACAGAGCGCCATGAACACAGAGAACAATTAAGTATGGTTCAGAGTAAAGCTCACAGAGTAGATGATTTTGGAGCAGAAACTGTTATAATAACATTAACTGCCATTTATCAAGGACCTCCTAAGTGCAGTGCATTTCAGTATAAGTTATCTGTATGCTACATCAACCATGGAAAATAATAATTACTCTTCTCTTTTAACAATTAAGGATGTGATAAGTGGTTCAATAAGGTTTATTAAAATACCAATACCAAACAGCTACTAAATGGCTGAGCCAAGTGTTTCAAACCTAATGTGGTGACTCCAGAGTGCTCATGTCTCCCCAGGAAGCTGCACAACAGGCTCAGCAGGTAAAGAGCCCTTCCAAGAAATGTCAGTGAGACATGAAAAGTCTTGATTTGTCCCTGAGGACAGCTGGAGCCAGTATATAGAACAAATGGGAAGGGCCCATGAAGAAGAGATTCCCTTATAAAAGAACAAGAAAAATTAAATGGAACAGGGCTGAGGGGAAGCTGCAGGAAATGGGAAGAATGCATTTGGAAGAAAAAAAAGCTTGTTAAATTACTAATCATTGAGTTGGTGTGGGATAAGTAGGTTGGAGTATGTTATAGTTTGGATATGAGGTGGCCCCTGTGTGAGAAATTGCAGGAATGTTTAGAGGCTGTAAACTCCTACTAGCCTCATGGAAACACATTAATAATGTTTGGTTGAAAGACTAGAATATTGAGGTCTGGTCCCAGATATGTTTAGTATGTTACCAAATGTAATCTTTCATTTTTAGGCTTTATCTGAATTCCTTTCTTGGAATCTAATAAAAGACCATAAAGAATTCTTTTTAGTCTAATTAGGCTATTAAGAACGAATTCAAAATGGAGTAAATTAAATTCCATGCATGTATGATTATGTCAAAATGAACTCAACTATTATGTACAACTATAATGTACCAATAAAAGCAAAAAGTGAATATTAATGAAGAACAAATTTTGAAATAACCCTACATTCAATATTTCTTTACTTATCAAGTTAAAATTGAACCTTTTAAGTTTGTGCATATATCCAAATTAGATTAAATGTTTCTCAGGTGAATAAGCACATTAAAAAAAAAAGAACAAATTCATCTTGATCCTGTTTTGAAAACACCCTTGTGTCAGTATCCCTACCTTCACCATTTCCACTCTATCATTCATATGTTCCCAAAGTTTTTTTATGCAAAATTAGTAAGTGTTAATTTCAAGATCCACAGCCAGAGAACAAACCTAGATGAGAATATTAGTTAAAATGAGAGTTTTTACGTGAAATTATTGTTGGTGTATAGTTTTGAATAAGAGTGGTTTTGACATAAAAAATTGAGAAGACTTACATGACAATAGTTATATGTTACCCATTGAGAAAAATAAGTAGTAATTTATTTTTAGTTGCTAAAGTACTTAAACTTTAGCAAAGATTTTGAAACTAATTTTCTTTCCTTTAGCAAAAGAGGTATCTATGTATATATTGAAATATAAGCCTTTGCATGTGTTCATGATGTCTCTGACTAAAAAGGAAGGCAAGACCATTTATAGAGTGATATTCTAAGGAGAATGAAAATGCTTCTGTAGTGACAAGGGCCATGAGAAATTTTTATGTGAAGTGGAATGATCAGATTGACTTTCTCCAAAGCTAATCCTGATACCTGTGAGGCAGATCAACTGTGGTAAGGAGCCAGGCAGCAAGATGTCAGTTAGGAAGCAGAGGAAAATGTCACCTGTACTGCCATGCAGAGGCACCTCTCCAGTGACTCGGAGACCAACAAACTTAAGGATGCGGGATTAAGAATAATCCAAACTGTATGACCAATGTGATTCTGCAACTTGTACAATCAGAAAAATGAGAAATTATACCCCATTTGATTCAAATATATGAAATGTCAAGATCATTGTACTGTCATGTGTAACTAATAAAAAAAAAAAGATTATATGAGAAATATCCAAAAAAAGAAAAATCCAAAATGTTCTAGACTTAAAGAATGAATTGAAGGAGACATCATGATAAGAAATAAGGAATATTAGAGGAGGAGGTATTGATATAGGGACATTTGGCTGGTATGGGAAGGGGACTGGAGTAAGGGGCAAGTAATGAGTTTAGTTTAACCTCCACTAAGGTGGAAATGCTAAGCTACATACATTATTAGGTAGTCGAATGTCCCCATCTAAAACTAAGGTTAACTGAGTTAGAGGTTTAGAGGAGAATAAAATGCAGTCGTTATAACAACAGCTTTAAAGTCAAATAGACAATGGGTTCAAAGTTCTGCTATTTACTAACTTGTGGGATTGGGTGAGATTTGGAGCCTTACTGAGCATTAAATTTCCTTATTTGAAAGTGAAGTCAGAAATACTCAGAGAAGTGGTGTAGATTGAGTGAGACAAGGCAGATATAAAGGTAGCAAAGTGTCTGGCACACAGTCAATGCAGATGTCCTCATTTTTCTATAAGTTATTGAGCCATAAATAGCTTAGAAATTGAAGGCACGGGACTGGAGCTGATAACCCTGAAGTACACGGAGAGGAGAATCAAGACAGGGCCTCAGGGTTGCCAACTGCTGAGGGGCGGGCAGAGCATGAGCAGGCGAAATAGGCTGAGAAGACACAGAGGGAGGGGAAAGGAGACTGAGGAGAGGGTGATGACCCGTAAACCAACTAGAAGAGTAGCAACAAGTAAGAGGGTGGATCAGAATCATCCCACTAAGCAGAAATAGTGGAAAAAAATAACTATTAGCACTGCCAGTGAGGATTTCTTTGTTGACCTAAATAGTAGTTTGAAGAAAAATAGGGTAGAGGCAGGACACAGAGATAGCATTCAGCTTTCCTGGAAGTCGGAAAGCTTAATTATCAAAAATAGATATAATTCTAAGAGAGAGAGAGAGAGATGTAATCTAGCTTAAAAACAGGAAGAGATTAATTAGTAGAATTAACAGATGTGAAGTAGCTCTCTCTAGGAATATTCCCCTCAGTATGCGATCATGCTATTATTTTTCCCATCATAAAAACAACCACAATGACAACTACACATAAACCCTCTTGACTCTAGGATTCTACTCTTCCTCCATCTACTGTTCTAATTTTCCTTACCTTCACAGCAAAATTATTTTAATTCCAAATTCTAAATTCCTCATTTCCAGTTTTGCTTTATTCTCTCCTACACCACTCAATAAGAGTTTTTTCCCCACATTCTACCAACACTACTCTGGCCAGAGTCACCAGTGATGGTCCTATTGTGAGATCCAATGGCCAATCTCAGTCCTCACCTT